TCACATTTTGGGCTTTTTGTAAAAAATTACTTATATTTAAAAGTTATTTTTAACTGGCAAATTGTATATATTTATGATCTACAACATGATATTTTGAAATCTGTATACATTTTACAGTGGCTAACTCAATTAATATGTGTATTAACTCACATACTTACCTATTTTTTGTGGTGAGAATGGTCAGGTCTACTCATTTTCAGGCGAACAACATGTTGTCATTAACTGTAGTCACCACGTTACCCAATAGATCCCTTGAGTCTGCTCTTCCTATCTAACTGAAATTTTGTGTCCTTTGACAAACATCTCCCCATCTTCTCCATGCCACAGTCTGCTTCTGTGGGAACCACCATACTACGGTCTGCTTCTGTGAGTCTCACTTCTCTAGATTCCACATATAAGTGAGATCCTGCAGTCTTTGTCTTTCTGTGCTGGCTCGTTTCATTTAACATAAAGTCTTCCAGGTTGATCCGTGTTATCACAAATGACAGGATGTCCTTCTTTTCTAAGGCTGAATGGGATTCCTTGATGTGGACACACCAGTTTCTTTATTCATTCAGTCACTGATGGATACTTATATTGATTCCGGATCTTGGCAATTCCGAATAATCCTGCAGTGAATATTGGGAGTGCAAATACCTTTTCCTGATACCTTACCTGATTTCTTTTTCTGTGGGTATACCCAAAAATGGGATTGCTGAATCATATGGCAATTTTATTTTTAATTTTTTGAGTAACCTCCCTACTGTTTTCCATAAAGGCTGTCCTAATTTACATTACTGCTAACAATGTTCAAGAGGTCTCTTTTCTCCACATCCTCTCTAACACCAGTTATCTTCCCTCTGTTTGCTAATAGCTGTTCTAGCAAGTGTGAAATATATGATTTGCATTTACCTAATAATTAGCAATTTTGAGCATTTTTTTATACACTGATTGTCCATTTGTATGTCTTCTTTTGAGAAATATTTATTCAAACTCTTTGCCCATTTTTAATTGAGTTATTTGTTTGCTTATTACTGAGTTGAGTTCCTTTTGTATTTTGGACAGTAACTCCTCTTTAGATATATGGTTTGCAAATATTTTCTTCCATTCTTTAGATTGTCTCTTCTCTTTGTTGATTGTTACCCTAGCTGTGAAGAAGTCTTTTACTTTGATTCAATTCTATTTGTGTATTTTTGTTTCTATTACCTAATATCTTAAGTATTGTTCGGACCAATGTTATAGAATTTTTCCCATACGTTTTCTTTTAGTATCGTTATGGTTTCAGGTCTTAACATTTACGTCTTTAATCCATTTTGAATTGATTTTTCTATTTGGTATAAGATAAGAATCTTAATAATTTCATTCTTCTGATGTGGTTATCCATTTGTCCCAACACTTTTATTGAAGAGATTATCCTTTCTCTATTTTATATTCTTCACAACTTTGTTGACAATCTTTTGACCATAAATGTGTGGATTTATTTCTGGGCTTTCTATTCTGTTCCATTAGTCTATGTGTCTGTTTTTACACCAGTGCCATGCTGCTTTGATTGCTATAGCTTTGTAGTAGATTTTAAAGTCAGGTAGCATGATGCCTCCAGTGTTGTTCTATCTGATCAAGATTGCTTTGGCTATTCAGGGTGTGGATCCACGGGTGGTTGTAAAGATTAAATGAGATAACACACACCCAATAAATGGTAAGCCTGCAATGCAGATGATTTTATCATTTTATAAATGAGAAAATAAAAATCCAAGATATTTAAGAGCTTGTCCAAAGTGGAAAAGGAAACCCACTGGAGGTTGAATGTAGGTCTTCTGGCCCCAGTGGCGAGACCTCTTATGCTGCATACCACTTTCTCAATACCACGGGCAGGGAAGTATTCTTCACTGAACGGAATCTGGCCCTGAAATCTGTGGATTCAGTGGCTCTTGGTTCCTTGCTCTAAAGTGAACTTCTGCAGAATATCCTAATTTTCTTTCTTGGTCAGTCTACAATCCTCAGGAAATAGTGGGATCTTTCCCTCAAAGGTATTCCTTGTTCTTTTTCCCAACTTGCTCCTAGCCTCCCCTCTCATGAAGCCAGGGCAGGAGACCATTGAGCTTGCAGAGTGGGGTCCAGTTTGACCTTCATACAAACCCCAACCAAGGCAGATAGTAAGGACCCACAGTCAGCCCCCCACCTCCTCGCCCTCCCTACAGTCAGCCTAAAAAATGCATAGACAAATAAATACCCTCAGCATACAGGCCTGTTGTTCTTGAAAAGTCATTACTTTGATTAGTAGGGGCTCTATTAATCTGTTTCTGACAAGGATCAGCTCTGATCTGAGAAGCATGGCTTTTTTTTTCCTTATTCCTTTGCCTTTTAAAAAAAATACCATTTCACCAGATATGTTCTTCAGAATGAATTCTTAACATCTGTGCCCTGTTACCAGAGATCTCTGGGAGAGGCTGCTTTTGACAGAAAGGCTCCTTTCTCTCCGTGATGCTTGTGGCCTTGCTGTTTCTCTTCAGGAAATAAATTATTCCTCACTGGATATTATTATGACTGTTTTAGTCTCTGAAGCTGAGCACATGGGATTTTAATGGTTATATGCATTGCAAAGGCAAAAACCCTCATGACTCTTCAAAAAAAAATAAAAAAGAGGAAGAATTTTCTAAAGGGCAGTTGAAACGTGTTTGTGGGACAACAGGAAAGTTTTCCTTGCCTGCCCAGAGTGGCCGCCCCCTTCAAGCGGCACTGTGGCAGCCGACCAGGTCGGTTTGACTGGAAAGAACTTCGTGGTCTCAGCTTCTCCCTGGAAAGTGTAGCATCCACATTCACCAGCCTCAACCACATGGAAAGAAAAAATAAAAGTCCTCAGGATAGAGATGCATGCATGCCTCTCAGAGGGTAGGGGATTTACATGAGTGACTTCCAGTAATGTTGATGGGAATTACAAAGCCTAAACCTCCCCTCCCCTTCCCCCACCCCTGAAAGAACAGCCTTCTTTCCCCCATCCCCTTTCAATAGACCTAGAATCAATTTTCCACCATCTAGGTATATTCTTGCCAAGAAGGACGGAACACAATAGCCTCGGGGTGTTTTTGCCAGACATCCTGGCTTCCAGAGGCGGAGGGCAGGAGGCGGCTTTAGCACAGCAGCGGGCTGCTGGAGAGCTATTTGAAGTGTGGCAGGTGACGAGTGGCCTCCTCCTTTGAGGATGGAACTTAGCATGTGGCATTGGAAAGAATAGACGACTGGTTTCATGTTTCCTGAGGGTGAAGGAGCAAGTGTACCGGGAACGTTCCCTTTGGTGGCCATTAGGACTTTTATCAGACACCCTTCTTTTAGGGGGCCCACGGCCTTGTACCTACCCCACTTCCAACCTCCTTTCCGAGTGTGAGAGCTGGAGAGAGGGTTGAATATGGACACGCTGCAGGTCCTGGCTAGGAAGCTCAAAGGGAATTTGAAAGAGAAGAAACCAGGCGTGAAGAAATCAAAATTAACCCAAGCAGAATCCTCCCCACCCACCCCCCCTCATTATGCAGTTGGGGAGGAGTCAGGAAGGCATTCTGTTGATTTCTTGCCCAAGATAATCCCTGCTAAGGAATTAATGCGCAGAGCAGATGGTGCTGTCTCATTTCCAATGAAAAGAATCAAGGAAGATAGTCTGTGCAATTATTTTTAATGGCTTGTGTGGTGATCTTCTTAATTTGTGAGAAAATGTTTCATCTTTTGTTAAAACTGGGCCCGTTCACATAGGGTCTTTTTGCTGAAGATTAAGGCATCATAGAGACCCCCGCCCCCCATCTTGGTAATGTCATCGTCAGGATCTTACTTGATGGGGCATTTCAACCAAGAGACAGCTTCCTGTAACGTTTGGGGGGGGGGGCGTAGAGTGATCGGGTATGTGGAAGTGATTGACACTTCCCTGTACACAGCTCTTACATTGTGACATGGCTGCAGGACAGGCTAGGTCCTGCTGTTGATGACACATGTGATAATTTGGCCCTCGGTGGAATAATGAAAGACGTGGGTTTGGGACATGGGATAACACAAAGGCTGTATAAGCTCTTGCCTTTGAGTTTTCCAGGAGATGTGACTGGAAAGCAATTAGCCAGCCAGTGTACATCAGACCCCTACCATGTGCCCAACACCTCGAGGAAACAAAACAATGAAGTCAGTATTTGATGTTACCTGCAGACCCTTCCAGAAACATCCATCTCTCCCACATTCATGAATATTACCAAAGGAGGAGTAGCTGCCGAGCAGCTGGCTGGGATCCCTCAGCAGCTGGTGCTTACACATACCCGCCCCCAGTCATCCAGATTCACAGTCATGCCAGGTAGATCTCCTTCAGTGCTCATAACCACCCTGTGAGGATGACCGTGACATTGCACACATGACCACAGGTTGCGAGTCTTCCGCCTTGCGTGGAACGAGTGGAAACCCTGAGGTCTAGAACACCTAACCTGGCCCAGGAGCTTGAATTCTTTTTAGTGAACAAAGATAAACCTGTATCAAATCGCAAATGAATAAATGCTAAACTGTGAGTCACTGATACAAAGCATTAGGGAAGGGAGAGGGATTTATAGGAGGGAACAATGCTCTGATGCCTTTGGAGAGGGCAGAAGGGGCTCTTCAGGCAAGAAAGGCCCAGATGATTTTTGAGGGGAGCAACAGGGAGGTGAGGAGGAATAGGGAGGCTTGGGGCCAAGCACCAGCAACATTCAAGAGAAATATTTGAGAAATGTCCTTAGGGAAAAACTTAGGGCACAGTAAGGAACCTGGAAATTGCTTTCGCCCACCGCCTGGCTTTACCAGTGAAGGCAGGAGAGAAGGTTTCCTAATGAACGTTGACTGATCTATCCTGCGCGTTCCCGCAGCACACAGGTAACAATTCTGCTTTCTCTTTGCAGAGCTGATGAGATTTTCTGACCGTGCGGCTGCTATTAATATGGAGAAGCGTTTTCCATGTGAATTTTGTGGACGGGCATTTTCACAGGGCTCTGAATGGGAAAGACATGTGTTGAGACACGGCATGTAAGTTGGGCCATCCCCACAAGGCCTTCACCCAGAGGGAGAGGGTGGGAGTGAGATTGGGGTTCCTTTTTTGGTCCCCCAGATAGCACCCAGACCCCTCCATGGGAGGAAAGGCAGTTGTGAGGAACGAAGTTTCTCCTTTTCTGCTCTTTGCTCTTAAATGGTCACCCAGCCAGACACAAGTGAGATGAGGAAAAATCACCTTTTATGAATGACAGATCTCACCCAAGCCCATGTGCAGAAGTACAGTGTTTTCCCCAGCCAACATCCCTCTAGTTTTCCTTAGCGTGACATTCTATGATAGAACCTGAATCGGGGCTAAAAGATCTGACCTCTGTTCCTGCCTCTGTGACTGACCGTTCCCTGAGTGACCTTGAATACTCCCATGCCCTGCCTCGGGGACAGAGCCAGCTTCTGCCTGCCTCCCAGGTAGGTGAGAGCACACCTGTAAAGTGCTTACAAGACCCTTAAACATAAAATCCTTCCCTGAACAAGCCATCTTTAGTCCACCTGGCACAGAGAGAAGCTAGGCTTTGGCTTCTTTCAGGAGCAAATGCCCCCCAAACTTTAAGTGTGTAGACCTCAGAGAATATAACTAAGTTTCCCAAGATGTGGGTTCCATCTTCAGGTTTTTCATTTGTTCCTGTGATTTGTTTCTGGGCCAGTCCAGCAAATCTTTAGTAGTTGAATTGCGCTTTTATCTTAATAAACAAAGCCACTGGTTCACCTGATTGCTTTGAATATGACCCAATAGAGGAAGTGTCATAAAACTATTATGTTAATCTAGAAACAAAACATGGTGTAAACAGCCCATAGTAAATAATGGATACTTTTAAATCTTCAAAAAGGTACAGAAATACAAGACCTATTCATAACATAGAGCAGGCATAAACCACTCACTTTGCTTATATATCCCTGGCGTTTGTTGGAAGGAAACCCCAGGGCTTTTTTAGGATCAGGGAACTAAAAGGACACTCGAAGGGTTTCTCTTTGCTTGCTTATTTGTTTGTTTGTTTAATTAGAGAAAAAAAGACGTAGGCTATACTCATCTGTCTCTTCCATAACGTTTTTTTATTCCCCAGGGCATTGAATGACACCAAGCAGGTGAGCAGAGAAGAAATTCACCCGAAGGAGATTGTGGAAGACGGCATTAAGATGCCCTCCATAGAGGAAAAAGAAGACGATGAGGCTATGGGGTTGGACTTTTCCTTAAAGAGTGAAACAGTAGCCATCTGTTTAGTAGCTGCCAACAAATCTCTCTTGGATAATGCAGAGGCCAAAAAAGAATAAGTGTTTGGTGAAAATCTTAAATCAAACCTTACTTGAACAGTGATGAAAAAGTGGGAGGGCCGGCTTGGGCTGAGAAGGGAGGGACAGAAACGAGAAGACAGAACAAAGCTGCTTTTTAGGACTGAACAATCTATTTTCAAAGCACTGGTACCTGTGTGAGTGAGTATGTAAATTAAAGTTATTTAAATGGTTGGAATATGTGGCTCCTTTTCCATCACTACATCTTTTCTTCCGGACCTTCATGGTGGAAGTTTCATTTGTTGCGGAACACGGAAGCACCTCCCAAGGGCACGGTGGTGGTCTTGGACGTACGTGGAAACAGAAGCTCCATGACCGTAGAAGACTTCTCGTAGGGGAACAACTTTCCGACGCGCAACTTTCAGTGCGTTTTTCTAGTTTTAATACCTTAAGCTTTTTCAAGACCTAACTGCAGCCGCTTTGGGGAGAAAAAAAACAAAAAACAAAAACAGAAAAAAAAACTGCTTTGCATAAAACAGTCACCTGTTTCCTAGTACCTCAAACTTAACCAAGGGAATTCTCTGCATTTGTCAGTACTACCTGTCGTC